CATATAGTGTTTGCATGAAGCAAGCAATGTAGAGTAAACATGACTCAATGTGCTTGCCAGCCTACACATTATAAGAAAAACAGGCTCACCACATGCATATATCTGGTAAAAATTATTGACCCACAACTGATACATGTAGATGCTCTTACCACTTTTCATAAATTATTAATAAAATGGCTTTAGGGTTAGTTTGTAGAGGTGGGCGATACCAGAAATTTTGAATCGATACCGATACCAAGTATTCTGAGTCTCAGTATTGATTGTATCGAGTAGTGAATGAGTAGTCAGCTACTGCGCATGAACAAATAAATTATAATTAGTTATTAATAAAAATGAAGAGAAATAAGCTGCCATTTTGTAATTATTAAAGGGTGTGGCCATAAGTATGATGTCAAAAATAGGTGTGGTGGGGCGTGGTTACTTACTACTCGATACCAGGATTTGGTATCGAGTACTTGGTATTGAAGGCCTGGTATCAGATATATGAGTACTTTGGTATCGTATCGCCCACCTCTATTAGTTTGATAACAATTATACTTAATGACTACATACATGTAATTTACAGGCCAGTGAGGCTACACATGGATCTTGAGTCTAACATGAAAATGGTTGGGAAGAGATATCCTTACTATGCCAAATACACTGTAAGACCTCTCCCCTACTACATGTAGATACATGTACATAATCATCTCTTCCCTTTTTCTCTCACAGGTTGGTTGTACTAAGGCTGGGGTTCTAAATGGGATTAAAATTGATGTGTTCACTGATGCTGGCTGCAGTAGCAATGACTCCTACTTACCTTATGCACTAAGGAACCTTGATAACAGTATGTACCTACATGTATATGCCATACTGTATAGTGCAAAATTTTCAAGTGCTGTAAATTTCATGGATTTCATGATTTTTAAAGATTTGCAGAAATTACTATCAAATTATTATGGTACAAGATGGCAGGAGGCATAAATTCACGAAGATGTAATCTGTGAAATAGATCTTTAGGCAAATCTGCAAAATTTACAGCCCTCAAAAATTTTGCGCTATATGGTAGTACAATAATTACAATGTACATGTATGTCTTCTTTCTTATTGTAGCTTACAACTGTTCTAATTGGTCGATAACACAGACTACCTGCAGAACACACACTCCCAGTAATACTTATACTAGGGCACCTGGTGAGAATTTACAGGCACCAAAATACATACGAACATACTAAAACAATATTATGTACTAATTTTGTAATGAATTTTGCTGGAAATGTCATTTTTTTGTACTCTATATGCCATATAATTTGTGGGGATTAAATTTCACGAAGTTAAAACCCGCACAATAGCATGCTGATCGTAGTAGGTGTGGTAATTACATTAAAATCACAAAATTTTCCTTTGCAAAAATAAAATTTTGCACTCACAAAATATATGACGTATACAGTATTTTCAGCTTCGAAATCCACTCACTGTAACTAATAGCATTCATTGGTAACTGTATCGTTAGGGTATCTGCCTGGTGTGTTCATTATTGAGTCACTACTGGATGATGTAGCTACCAAGATAGGCATGGATGTCGAGGAATTCAAGCATGCCAACTTTTACAAGAAAGGAGACATTTCTCTTCTGGTAAGCTATTACCATTTTTTTCTTTTTCTCTTTGCCTTTTGCTGTATCTTAAATGTATCTTTTTTCTCCCTTCCTCTTTCTTTCTCTGTCTCTCTCTGTCTGTGTCTCTCTCTGTCTCTCTCTCCCTTTTGCAGTCATTCCCACCAAAGGGACAGGCTTTGACATACTGCAATATTGATGACCTCTGGCAACGTAAGTTTACGCATGCACATAAAACTGGATACCGATACATGTACAATCAAGATCTTCTTCTCTTGTGCTGTAACTTACAGAATATTTAACTCTCATAGAAATGATGAAGACCGCAGATGTCCAGGCTAGAAAAGACAAAATCTCAGACTTTAACAAAGTAACACTGAATAAAACACTTACAACACTCAGTATATGATTTAATAACACATTTCCTGTAGGCTAACAGATGGAGGAAGAGAGGGTTGTCTGTGGTCCCATTGAGATATGGTCTAGAATGGAATGGGACTAATAGCACTGTATTGGTTAGTGTGTATTCTGGTGATGGATCAGTCTCTGTTGTACATGGAGGAGTTGAGATAGGACAAGGAATTAACACTAAAGTAAGTTTTAAAAATAAAGTACAATAAATACTATAATACCGTATAGTGGAATATTTTTATGGCCCAAAAATTTTGCTGATTCATTCAAAATCTATTTTGTGGCTTTAATTTTTGTGATTTCCTATTTTTGGGCGTATTAAGTTTATCTTTGCGCATTTTATTTTTGTGTCATAATTTGTAAATTTTGAAAAATGGGAAATCCATGAAAATTAGATTGCCACTATATGGTAATAATGTTATAAAATCAAAAATAGAATGAATGTATTAAAAATTAACTTACAATGTTCTTTTTGTGAAGGTTGCACAGGTCACTGCCAGTACTCTTGGTATTCCATTGAGCTCAGTTACTGTTGTACCTACTAATACATTCACAAGCCCCAACAACACTACAACTGGTGGTAGTGTTACCAGTGAGATCAACTGTAAAGTATGTCATTCACAATGTACATTAATAATGTAAAAAATTATAATAATTTTACCATTACGCAGTACTTTTAGTCAGGCAAAATTTTACCGCTGCATTTCTATTATAAAGATATTACCTTAATTGTACCATAACAAGAGTAGATCTACATGTACTTTGACCATAATAATAGAAATTTTACTGTATTTCTATTAATTTCTACAGGGTGCACTGTTAGCCTGCCAGTCGTTAAAGCAAAGACTTGATAAAGTGAAGGAAGGATTGATAGCAGATGGTGTGTCTGATCCCACCTGGCTACAAATAGTACAAAAAGCTTTCTCCAGTGGAATAGACCTCTCAGAGAAACACTAGTAAGCAATGGATTGTATCCCTACCTGATTTTAGCCTGATATAACTCCGCAGTGAGTTTGCTACTAATGAGTTATTTGCTGCCTATAATGCTTATGGGACCACAGTGACTGAAGTAGAGCTTGATGTACTGACAGGACAAACTGAAATATTAAGAGTTGATCTTTTATATGATTGTGGAGACAGGTACATAAGCATGCATATAGTATCACTATTCACCATCTTCCTACAG